ATTGAAAAAGAAAACATGTTCTCCAACAAATTTATTTAAACTACTTATCAAATAGTTAATTTATTATGAAAGCATTGGTTAAAAAAGTGAAGGGGGGTTTTCATGAAAGACCGTTGACTTTTTTGTGTTTTAAACTTTAGAAGAAAAGAAAATGTAGTCAGTTTAGCCAACTTTTCTTTTATACGAGGCACATTCATGAGGTTTATGCGTAATGGCTGAAGCTCTCTTTGCTTCAAACTATTTTTTATCTAAAAAAAACTTCTATTAAGGTGAAAGAAAACAAAACTCTGTCAATGCATTCCTACAACACATAAATGATGTAATGATATAAAATGTTTCATCATCTAAATTTATTAACATGGAAAAATTTGCAAAATGGTATTTTTCATAATTTTATCACACTTTCAGCAAATATAGAGGGTTAAATTACATCTACAGCCAAAAGAAAACAATGCAACCAAAATTCAAACAGCTTTTTTTTTTTTTTTTAACAAGTGGAAAGGTTTAAAATGTGGTGTTTTAATTTATGACAGAAATGTAGGTCTAGGGCTCTTATTGTTAAAGTCCAGAGGAAGCTGTTGAAGTTATACCCTAACCAGCTGCTAAACAGAGATACTGCTCATCAACCTACTTTCAGACTTGTGTTGTTTTCCTGTTTGCTCTGTCCAGTATAAGCACACCTTTAGGATTCTGTGTTAGTTGTACAAGCTTTTAACAAGTTAAACAAACTAACTATTCTGAAGATTAAAACGTTCCTCTTGAATAAACACTGCTGAATCTTCTCCTTGACCAAAAGCATATTTGTTTGAAACTAAGTGAGAAAAAAATTTGATAAATAATATTTTTATAAAAGCCCTACAACACTGTATGGTCTTGAATTGTAAAGGAACTGGGATTGTCAATACAATGTGAATACCTGCATGAGTCAGTAAAAATTACTGCATACTAATATAATAAATTATTCTTCTGCAAGGACCAAAGAGAATTTTTTTTAATTCTTGTACATTAAACCTGCTCTGCTGACAAAGCGGCTCAGTGGTGCACTGATTTGGGTGACGGCCTGGTAAAAAGAAAATGGAAGTCATCACCAGGTCCAGATGGCAGCTTTGACGTTATCTGGTGACATCACATCACCGGTAGTCAAGACTCAAGAGGGGGGGTGGGGTTCGCAATGTGCAATGTATCCTTGAATTTTAAATTAAAACAAAAGCAAACAGCATACAAAATAATAATAAAAAAAAATTAAAAAGCCCCAAAAAGTACATGTTATTTATTATTTACAATAAAAGCGTTCAACTAAAATGAATCTCTTGCAACTTTGCTTTTTTTTTTGTAGGAATAACTTTAAAATCAGTTAAAAATATCCAGTGTGGAAATGACAACATGCAGCATGGAGGCTGTAATCACGCACACTGGCACCTTCTGCCGCCTGGGAGCAGCTTATTCATTACAACAGCACACCTGGGTGGTGTGATATGCTTGAACTTCTATATGGTTTCCTCAATTATTAATATTAATCATTCCATTATTTTATTTCAGCTTATTTCTTTCATTTTTTTATGTTTAACAGTTATGTTTCTTATGAGTTAGAACTATAAACCTAAATAGATTAATAATATAATTGGTTTATTTATATTAGGTAACATTTTAGACAAAAACATTGCTGGGATATTAAAAAAGATTGTTTAACAAAGAAATACATGTAAATTTGTTTTATGTCTGAATAAATAGTTGCATAAATATCTAATTTAAAGGTATAATAAAGTATAAATGTTTAAACAGAAAGAAAAAATATGCTTGTCAACCTTAGCACTCAACCTACTTTGGCTCCTCTATAATACCTCATTCACCCACACATTTTCTCTGCACAGAGCCATGCAAACCGCTGCTGATGAGAAGCAAATGCTATCTGTGCCCTTCTCTCAACCGCTTTCCTAACTCCGTTTGTGACAAGACACTGTAGTTTGTGAGTTCAGATAAAGAAAGAGTTTGGTTGAACGTGTCTTTTATCCTTGGTTGGACTTTAAAACTGTTCAATTTGTAGTGGTGACTGGGGAAAAAGCATCCAACATCAGAGTGAATAAGTTGAACAGTTAATCTAAAGAAAGATATTAAACATCTTCTCTTGTGGGTTGTCGATCATTATAGCATTATGTTGGCCTTTTTATAAAACAGGGAATATCAGGTATTGTGATATAAATTAACATATAGACCCAACAGGTTTGAGTCTAATTTTCAACTAATTTTAATTAATTAACTTGTAGACCAGACTTGACTTAATTTTATCTTTGTTTAAAATCAGCTTCTAAATCACCTCGACTTATCTAAGACATCAAGTAAAGCAGCATCACCAAATATTTTCTCCGCAGGATGAGAAAAGAGGGCAACAGTGACAAACGCTTGGGTGAAAAAAAAAAAAAAAAAAAAAATATTTTCTCCGCAGGATGAGAAAAGAGGGCAACAGTGACAAACGCTTGGGTGAAAAAAAAAAAATCCAAATGTTAAATTATGCATTGTCACATATGGCAGGGTTGAATCTTGGTCTAGCTGAGGTGGAAACGGTTAATGATTGGCCTGAAGGGAGACTGCATGACTGAATGTATGAGGACATAGGCTGTTTCTAAAGCAACAAATGGCAGAAGTCTGGACGCTTTTGTTGTTTTAGGAAATTCTGTGTCCACAGCTGTTCAAGTGTTGTATTTTATCTCACTTGTTAAATCTTGCATAATGTGGATAATCAGCGGTGGCTAAGCTCACCCTATGGTTTATCGGCTTCCAATCTGTAGAAACCAGCAGCTGAAACATCTTACCAACATCCAGTGATACTTTTTTGAAGACAAAGAGGTGAACACATTTAAGAGAAAATCGAAAATGTACATGTTAACTAAAAGGCAAAAAAGTCTTATGAAGAGTCCAAAATACAGAAGTGAAAACCATAGAGTTTCCAATGCAGAGTTAACAGGAAAGTGGGAAAAAAATACTAAGGATTTGTTGCTGCACAAGGAAATGACGACAGACACAAAATCTGAACTCAGCCATTGTCAAATTCTGCATCTATAGTGAGGAACAACCATTAAACCTTTCCTAAATCACACTAAACTTAAAATATTAATCAGACTGAAATCCTCCTCTGTTACTTTTTCTCCCTCTCTTTCTCCATCTCTTATCTACGCTGTCACGTATGCTATCAAATGACAGAGCAGCGGACTGGCGTATTGTGGCACCCGTCCTGCCAATGTCCCTGCTTGTCTTCTAAGGCTGCTGAAGGACACATCAGCAGGCTCACGGCGAGACCTGCTGTAGACTAGATCTGTGTCAGGATGTTTGAACAGGTTTGCACACTCACCTGTTTTCAGTCAGATAAGGCCGCACATTTTTCTGTATTACAAAACTCAAATGGTGCTCCAGAATAAACCAGAATAAATTCAAAATTGTATTTACCTCAGCAAAAATGCACACTTATATAACATATAGGGCCCTTAAATTTCTGTTTTATTTGTTTCCCCTAAATTCCACATTTTCATTCTAACCTGAAAAGGATGTACCATAATTATAAAGTAACTAAAAAATATTTCTTTTAAAAGCCAAAAAATTCTCATTTTAATGTCAAGTTAAAAATGAACGATGCTTCACTTTTAGAAATAAAACACATAGCTGTGGTTCAGCAGAAAGTTACATGCGTTTTAATAAAAAACATCACAAATGAACTAGACATATCATCTGCTATAACCTCTCATCCAAATGGGAGAATCCTGTGAGATTCCGGGTTTTTCACTAGATTCCATTTTATTTATTTGTTAAAATTCCATCTGCTTTCCTGCAACACGGAAATCATAGGGTCTAAACATATAGTATGACATTCAGTTATTCTGTCGCTTTCTATTAATTTTAAAAATTGTTCCTTATGACTACAGATAAAGCAAAATGTTATTTCTGATATAAATTAGATTATATACAACTGTAGCTTGAGAGGATTGTGAAGCAAGGCCCATTTAGAGATTGACAAGGCATGAAGTCTGGTTGGAGTCAATCATGGAGGTGATTCACCAAGAGACGCTGCTCTGATCCGCCTGCAGACAAGCAGTTTCGCAACGCTGCAGCCAAACTGGCTCAAAAAAAAGCAGACCGGGCGTTTGGGAAGCCTTCCGAATTGGGTCACCTCACCCCTGCTGGCTCTCTGTCTGGTGGCAGGGTGGTAGTGCATGTGTTCACCTGCCCGAAAGCCCTCAGAGCGAGGCGATGACAGTGTCTGAAGGGTGCAGGGTTCACGTTTTCACAACTATTTTTCTTTGTTTTTTTTATTTAACAAGGAAAGCCCCATTGAGTTTACTAATCACTTTTCAAAGGGAGTCCTGGCCAGGACAGCAACACAGATCACAACAGTTTAGTATGTTAAAGATAACTTTACAAAACTATAGATTTCATTTCCAAAACCTTTGAGCAATGGTTTAAACCTGTCTATTGAAACCTGTTCCTTTGGAAATGTGGAAAAAAATCTATTCAAAAACCCAGTATGACTGCTGGGTATGCTCATTTAAAATCAGTGTATCGGCCTAATTTCAGTGTCATTTCTAAAATTTCAGCAGTGTTTAGGGTGAAATGTTTTGGACAGAGCCCAGCTCATAAAAAAAGAAGAGTAGCGGCCTGGATTTTAGCGTATCTGGGCCACATTTGAATTTAGCAGCACTGTACACTTAAAATACACTGACAAGATTACTGCTCCGAGAATTCTAATTCAATATACAAGTTTTAGCATTAGGATGAAACTAAGGATATAAATCAATACACAACCAGTTGACAACCAGTTCTGCGAAACCCAACAACTTAACTTTCAAAAATCCTAAACACAAACATGATTTTGTTTTATAGAAATAATCTGAAATCATTTTGGGTTCTAGTACCATAGAGAAAAATGTTAAGATTAAACCAACAAAGAGGAAAACAATGTCAAGTGTGAACAGTACATGTAAAAGTCCCACACATGAGAGAAAAAATGTTACCTTGACGATTGGATGGCCACCAGATGCTGCTTTGACAGCTCCTCTGCTGCCTTCAGTCTCATAGTGTGCACGGTGGTGAGCTTTGGGTTGCACCTCTATCTTCAGCTCATACTGGCCAAATTGGCTTGGCAATGGCCAGTCTAAAGGAGGGAGCGAGGTTGTCCTGAAGAGGCACAATCATAAGTATGCACATTAACACCCACACAGAGAGGAAATTAGAGCTCTGGAAACAAACTCTACAAGCTGCAAGTGTGTCAAAGATGTGGTCAAAAGGGTATCTAACGCATACCTTGAAAAAAGGTCAGGACTGTCATGAGTTTATACAACTTGAAACAATAAGAGAGCAGAAAATCTTGTCAATGCTGCAGCAAAAAACATTGCAGCACATATAAAAAGATAAATGCAGTTCTTTTGAGTTAAATAATATAGAAGAAAATCCTCTTTAAACCATTACAGGATAGGAAAAAAATACAAATGAAGACCTTTCCCTTGCTAGTGGCCGCCTCTTTTAAGCTTATCTGAACCATAAATGTCTAAAAGAAAATGGGTATTCCCCTGTCAGGACTGATATGGTGCAATAGGTGACAAACTGCGTTTTAAAATGCATTGTTCTTTCTCCCATCAGACAGTGAATCACTGGAATGCCCACATGTGCTCGCTTTGCTCTTAAGCATAAAACTTGTAATATGTCATGCAAAGACTCTGAGTGTGAATCATTTCCCAAGGGGGACTTTTTTTTATGAGTCTTTACCATTTTAATGTGTGGGTCAAAGAAAAGGCGTAAGGACAAGGGTGTGCATTAGACAGTACATAAATGACTGTCCGGGTCTGTGTGCGTACTGTACTAGAGCCTAATTTATGTCCAGCGTACCACAGCGGGTGGCATTGTGTGTTTTTCCTCACTGCCTCTTTTTTGTTATCTGAGTAGGCCACAATCATATTTGAACAGCTGCATGTAAACATAAAACGCTGAATAGCCGTCTCCGCACAGAAACCGGGTCCATCTATCTAAGTGCATTGGATCAGTTTATCAACAAACCAAGAACACATCCTTAACCTTTTAATTAACTTCACTTTCATGGCTTACCTCTTGATTAACCTTAATTGTTGGTGATAGGTTTACTTTTACTGTCGTGTACCCCCACCACACTGTCGTCATTCAGGGAACGGACAGTAAGGTAATGAAGTCTTATAAGAACCAGGGTGAATAACTCAACAATAAATTGCTCTAAAGTCACAACACTGATGCCATCTCCATGAAAGGTCAGAGCATACTGTACTCTAACTGCTGAAGAGAGTTAGGTCTTTTGGAGTGCAGAGGGTAAGACCTTTTCAATTCTGTGCTAGCATAGGCCTTCTTTTATGGTTTAATTTGTTGAAGCAGTGGCTTATGTATCGCTGTGAGTTAGCATTTAGACCAGCTCATTACAAAGACCAGCTCCTATCCTTGAATGCCCCCTCAACCCAGTGCAGGCCGTGGGAGAAATAACAAAACAGCTGAATGATGTTGCCCAATGCACCCATGAAGCTGTTGCAGAACTAGAGTGCTTTGTCAGTGAAAGACTGCTAAACCCTTGGAGCACAAGTGTGCATTGTCACAAATCCCTCTTCCTGGCAGTTGCTAGACTTTATAAAGTTAGTCCGCAAGTGCTTCTCTCCTGCAGCTTTTGCATGCATCCCTTTTCAACACACCTCAAACAAACAATTGGTTTATATGTCAGGCCTTTCCTAAACTCCCCAACATCTTAAGGTGGTCATTTGACCTGTTGTTTCGGGTGTGTTGGAGCAGGGGTGCATGCTAAACTTGCAGTTCAATGGCACTCGAGGACAGACGTTGCCTATCCCTGCTTTATAACCAGCCCAGCTGCCAACAAACTCAACAAGTGCATTATTTTTATTAACCTTGTTATATCACATTTCTTAATATCTGATTATGTTCTTTCTGCTCAGCGTTTCTTTTTTTATACTGTAAATATTCCTTACCCTAACGCCCTTCATTCTTACTCTCATAACTTACATTTTTACTTGCACGTTAATCTCCATGGTTCAATTTGCCTGTCCCTTTATTGCTAGTAACCCCTAATTATCAGCAACATTAATAGCTATTTCTATTCCAGTCTATTTAACAGCACAAGCTTTCACTGCAAAGGACATATATTATCACATTTAACAGTTAAGTTAATTTAAGCTGAGAACTACTTTTGTCTTGGGCTGCCATTGTATTATAGAAGAATAGCAGTCCAGACTCTTCTGAAATTCTTAGAATGTAGTTGTGTTCTCTGCTGCATGTGCTAACTTTTTGCATTTGCTCTATTTTACATATTTTTTATCTCAGAAAAAAATGCAAATTATGATAAATATCCAAACTTACAAGCCTGAATAAATAACTAAAAGAAAAAGCTTAAAAAAAAATGATGACAGAAGTCTCTCAATATTAAAAGAACATTAATTTTGAATTTACTTTTTGAAACTGGTTGTCAGAATAATGTATACAAGCCGCTGGAGATCCTAGCATCCTAAAGCTATTGCCAAATGTATACATGATGTAAAAGGCCCAACATTTTTTGTAAATGTCACATTTTCTATGTTGCTGGCAGTTGTTTTTTTTCTGAATGCAGGTAACAAATCAGAACTAATACACTAACAAGGTATAAAATTCATCCACTCTTGGCATAAACCATGACATAACCACCAATTAGGCATGTGATTGAATGGCTTCCATGGCAACAAAAACAGAAGACAGGGGAAACATGAGCTTGTGAGGGAAAGCGTAACCTTTCTCAAATGTCTGTAATACATGTATGATGCCCCCTATCCAACTGAATTTACAAAGCTTTGTTTTTCTGTGGCCTGAGTTGATTCTAAGTAATCAAATCCTGTCCTCTGTTGTATAAATAGTTCACATTTTGTTCCAAAGAATGTTGAAAAGTAGGTTTCCGATATATTATGCAAAACTGATAAATTAGTGAAATAAAAAAACAAGGTTGAAGGCCTGCAGATTATTTATGTTACGTTGTAATTCTAAATAAACGGTTCCCTAGTCATTAACACATAATTTTGATTCAACTCATACTATAATCTTAGGCTTTTAGAGCACAACTTTGGACCAAAGTGATAAGACTGACTTCTCTTGTTATCAAATCGAGACATATTTTTCAATCTAATGGCTGTTTTATTCACGGTTTCAATTTTTCTTTCTGTTATTCCCTTTTTTGCCAAAATCTAGCACAAGTCCTATATCCGGACATTTACAATTGTTTTAATACAATTTTTTGTGCACAGTGAATATCAGCAATCTAACATCATTGAGAGCTATAAAGGTTAGACATAAAGTACTGTATTAAAGTATAAATCCATTCAACAATTCCTTTTAGTTTTTCCTTTTTATTACACATGCATTATACAAATTTTAAAATCCATCCATTTAATCTTGAGTAAGATATTAATTTAGCACTTTAGCTCTTCGGCTGGAGAAGGAATAGGGATTTGAAGCTAGTGTGTACTGTATATCAAAAAAGACAAACTAAGGCTTAATCCAAATACTTGCAAAATGGTAAGGACACTTTAGCCATGGTGGAAGTATATCCGTGGTTGCCAGGAGTGCTATCTGGATAGTGCTAGCAGTTAGGAAGGACCAGGAATAAGAATGTTTCCTAGCGCCAATGCAGTTAGCATAGGGATCTACTGCAATCTCTAACATTGCTATGAGGTTAACCGTTGCCAGCAATCTGTGGTGGGACAGACCATATAGGCACAGCCCACCTCACAGAGTATCATAAAAATATATGACTTCATGACATACTGTGCGTGACACATGTAAATGTCCTCAACTTTATATGTTTTTGGTCCTATAATAGAGAGCTTCAGCTGTTTACTAATTGTTTAACCTTTGTTTTTGTAATTCTTTTCCAGAAGGTTGAGTCCCAATTTAATCGGAGAAAATAAGGCTGAAGGCTGTCTGGATTAAGCACAGCAGTGTTCCTATTGTTGACCCTCCAAAAGGTGAACAGATAGCAGCTAGGTAGAGGATGTATGAGCTAAAATTAGAATTATTAGGATCGAGTTGATTGAAGGAGTGGCAAGGAGTGGCAAGCCCAGCTGTAACTGCCAAAATCTGCGACTTGAGGTCCTCAAACAGAGAGGTCTCTGACATATATATGCAAACAAGTAAAAACAGTTTTGGCCATTGTACTTGTACAAACTGAGCATAACAGCTTATTTCGCATGAGTTTGACCACTTTCAGCTTAACGGTCCATTATGCTGAAATGCACTTCGGAGAACCCATAGTGTGCATCAGATCTCCGCCTCAAAACCCCAGTGAGATTTAGCTTTTACTCATGAACTAATAGCTGGACAAAATCCAACTGGATTTTAGGTTAGAAATAAGAACCTAATAGTTCTATGAGATAAGGAGAGTAGTCGGTTTCTTGGAAGCAAAACAGCATCGCACTACTTCGCCAGGTTTAACTATCGGAATGACGTTCTCTTTGGGAATACTGTGGTCATTTGATAGCAGATGTAAGTGGATGTTTACCTTCCAAAAGGTTTCACCTTTTCCATCAGTTATCTAGATAAGATTTATATCAAAGATGTTCAGGATTATCAAAGAAGTCCTTTGGCATTTCTTTTTACAATGAGAGCTTCCCCCTTCGGAGTGTAATAATTATGAAATCATCAAGATAAATCATCTTCCTCAAGGCACGTATCACACGTACTGTGCTCAGTACCAGTGACTACAGCTAATGATAGCCTGTCCTGCTGATACATGAATGCCAAACACAGTTTTCACCGATGGAGAAAAGGAGGGGGCAAAAAAGAGAAAAGGATTAAGTTTTAAAGGTGTAAGTTTACTTTAAAACATAAAAAAATAAAATAAAACTACACAGTGAGTCTTCTGGCATCAGCTTAGCATGGATCTCAGCAGCATAGCTCGTCAATGCTCGGCCCCCACCTTTGCATTCGGTAGGACTTTGTTTTGATTTGTTAGCATGGGAGAACCCACATGGGGATAATGGATGATACTATTATGTGCAGAGAGTAGGGGTGGAACGGTTCACAAAATCCACGGTTCAGTTCGATTCACGGTTTCTGGTCACGGTTTTCGGTTCGATACATGTTGATTGTTACACCGAAATCCCATAAAAATTTATGAAATTAATGAAAAAAATCCCCCCAAAAATAATGGATTGTAATTATTTTAAATGATCCGCAGAAACCCTGGATCATTTCCGTATGTTTTGCTTCTTTGAATTTCATCATCTGGCGCATGCTCTCTACCATCTCCAAGGGACTCAGAGGGGAGCAGACGAAGCCACAGTGGAGGCTGTAGGCTTTGCTTTGAGCAGCCGGTCTGGAGCGCAGCGGGGCGGAGCGGGGGTTGCTGACGGAGTATGAGGGATTTCAGGGTTAGCAAGACATGTTGCTGTTAGCATAAACAAAACGTGTTGCACAATGCTCGCACACTGTTGCACTTTTATCCACAACTTTCTTTCCGCTGTCATCGTAGGTCACTCTAAATGCAAAGCGCTCCCATACAGCAGACCTATAAAGTGCTGCTGGCGCGTCTTCCAACTCCTGTTCTTTCCCACTCGCCATACCCACACAATTCTCCACAACAACTGATTTTTTTCCCCTGCTACACCCGGCTAAGCTGCTTCGCTTCTTCTTCTTCTTCTTGTTTACTACTGGCGGTTGGCTTTGGTCGCAGTACCGCCACCTTCTGCTCTGGAGTGTAATCGCTTCCTCTATGAAAAAAAGGAGCAGCGCATGAACCGAACGAAACACACGCGAACCGAACCGAGACAGTCGAACCGAACGATTCTGACGGTTTTCATAAATCGTCCCATCCCTAGCAGAGAGGGATGGTTTTTTTGGTAAAGCTGTGAGGAAAGATTTTTATTGTGCCTGTCTTTCTGCATGGAGTTTGCATGTTCTCCCTGAGCATGCATGAGTTCTCTCTGGGTACTCTGGCTTCCTCCCACAGTCCAAAAGCAGAACTGTTAGGTTAAAGCTACAGTGTGTAATTTTCAGCGACATCTAACGTCCAGACTGCAGACCGCAGCAACATGAACATCTCCCCCCCACCGCTTCTCCCCCCCAACAGTACGGCGAGCGTTACGGGACAAAATGTCTTCCACGACGTCCGCATCACCTACCTTCTCAAGTGATGAGGTTTGTTTACATAGATAATTTTAATACTGCCATCTATTGTTCAGTACCGTCTCAGTTCATCTCTCTCAACTTGCCATAGTTAATTTTGAGCGAAATGGGCGATCTCGCAATGGCTAGTTTGTTGGCTCTGCGCTGCCGTAGCGCAAAGATGTCTGCCTCCATGGCTGCGAGACCCGCTCCTATGTAATTATAAATAACGAATTCTAAGGCAACGCAAATATTAAGGTTAAGAGGCTGAGCTCGTAGATGATGATAAATAACATAGTTATGTATAATATATTACATTTCTGACTGTATATCCCTGTAATTATTACACACTGTAGCTTTAATTGGCTTCTCTAAATTTGTGTGAGATATGAGTGTGTGCATGAATGGTTTTTTCCTCCTGTTTGTTTCTCTTTTGCACTGCGATAGACTGGTGAAAATTGATGAATGGATGGATAAAAAGTCTAATTTGGCCCTTAATCAATTTAAAAGTATTCTATTTTGTTTAAATATAAATATGTTTTTTTAATGTAAATAAAGAGAGGTAGAGGTATTATGCATTGCATTCATGTTAAATCAACCAGGAGGGGGCAAGTGTTTAATATATTAATATAGAGATTTTTTTTCTGTAGATGCATCATTCTTATTTTCTTAATAAATAAAGCAAAATAAGTGTTTGCATTTTTTAATACATTGTTGTTTCTCATAAAATAACCTTCAGTAACTAATTGAACAATTTAAATGTGACTATTTACTTGATGAATCATCAGAATAATGGATTAAAAAATAATAGTTTGTTACATGACAATTACATTTAATCTATAATTAAATAACAATTACAATTTCATATAAGGGCAGGCTGGTTTCTTTAGTTAAACCACTTTTTGTGTTTATTCTAATAATTTGATTTGCTGAGCCAAAACATTGAGGAGTGATGTGAGAAAACTGATCTAAAATAAATTAAGATTTCTTTAAAAAAGTGTATTTGTCCTTAATTTGAGTATATTAGATGAACTCCTGATGGAATGAGTAGTTATGCCCTTAAATAAGATAAATCGATTTTTTTTTCTTATTTTAACATAAATCTTCTTATTCCATTGACAAACTGCCTTATATACCAGCTGAAAAATAAACTTATTTCATGAAAAGTTGACTTAGATTTAATTTAGATTTCTTTTTCTTTCTCAGTACAGCTTTTTGTGTCCAAGGAAGAAGCTAACAATCCCGGCCACCTTGTTCCCTAGTTCCCTCTATCACAACCGATCCCACCCATTCAACCTGAGCCATCTGTTCTACTCACAACAGACTCACATGCAGGCATAGAGAGCTCAACATCCCATTTCAACACAAACAGAGCTCTAGACCACCTGACTTTCTTCTGTGTATGTAACATCTGCCTCTGAAACATACACTTACCTACAATTGTTAAAATATTGAGTGTAAATTGTGAATCATCATAGATTGGAGCCTGTGTTTGTCTGGACGATGATAGGTCTATGTGAATAAGCATTTGTGTTATGTCTATGGACATGTCTGTCTGTCTGTGTGTATGCGGTTGCCCCTGTGCCATATGTGCCCTGTGCTGATTTACAGCGCTAGGGGCCAGTGAACTCAGACAAGGCCTCATCTTCATCTGCCAGACACATTGGAGAAGTGAGCCAACTCCTCCTCCTCCGCTCCTGTTGGTGTGTGTGAGTACATTTGGCATGTGTGTGCCTGTGTATTTTTCTCCACATGCTAATAAACCTGTATAATAACACACAGCTCAAAGTTCCCTCATAACTGAACAATAAACAGAACCAGCAGACATGTTACCCAACAATGTAATTGATAAACATTAACTAGAAGACCATTTTAACTCTCTAAAAAGACTATTTTTATCTTTATGGCAACTCACAATTTTCATAAATTCTCATAAAAACATCCAACACTACTAATATTTCTTAACCTTGACCTAGTAATCCTTTTCAAAGACCCACTAAATTGTAATCTATGATGTAATCTATGACGCTTCACCTCGACTTCCAGTAAGATTAAAGTATAATTTCATTACATTTTGAGGGAATTTCATGTGAAAAAACACAAAGTAGCACATTGTTCTGCACATTTACAGATAGAAAATATTGTTCTTTGTTAAAATAGCTGGGGTGCAGTCAGACTGGACCTCAGATTCTCAATTAAATTTGTGTCTGGACTATGACCTTCTACCATGTGAACATGCTTTAAACAAAAACCCTACAGTGACACTTAGCTGTGTAGATCTTCAGATCACCAGCTCCCCTAGCTGACACACTAATGTGTGTTACTGCTGGGAGGGTGTGCTTACTATGATGTTAAGTGTTCGTTTTTTAGCATTTTAAATCTGTGCCAAAATGCTAACTTGTGGACCAATTCTAACAAATCAACTAATCAAATAAAGTTCGTCCAACCTAATTTGTTTAGGTTTATAGCTTAATGGAAAATTAGTAAATTAACTTTATTCAATTACTTGTTACCAGTTGAAGCAATTCATTGAAGTTGGAGCAGCATTTTCTATTTAGAGTGTTTCTAAAAGTTGACTTTGTGGAGTGCAGGCTTCATACGTCTGAGTTGTTAGGTGGAAGAATATGTCATCAGAGTCTGCTATGTTATACTCCTCCGATATTGAATGATTAACTGAATCTCTGAGTCTTTTTTGATCAAATACTGCCTAAAACTTCCCCTTATCTTTATTTTCTGAGGTGTGGTCTAAAGTCCTTTTCTGTCTGCATTAGTTTTACAGAGGAATCACATGAGATCTTTAATACTTTTAGAAATAGTTTAGCCATGTCAGTAATTTGTGAAGTTAAAATTCGCTGAACTCCGAGGTCCTGTGATAATACCAACAAGATGCAAATGAGTATCTACAAGATTTGAAAAAAAATTATAAGGATCCGATATTTGATTTAGTTGTTTTTATTTCCTGTACTCATTTTTGCAAAGAATTGAGGCTGTACTGGAGTGTTTAGAAAAGCTTTTGTCTCCACCAGCAAAATCTCATCGACTCAAAAGGTATAGCATCAAAAAGAAAAAGACTGATCAATATCAGTTGCAAATGGTGGATCACATCATGTATTGCACTGTGCACTGTGAACATGGAGCAGATGTTAGGAAAAGCCTAAACATCATATTGGGGGAATGTCTGTAAATTTCGGCAAAATATCAGGCTTTAATTATCCCTTATGAATGAACCATAAGTCTAATTATGTCACTAATAGAAATAAAAAAAAGATTTAATTAATTAAAAAAATGAAAAAATAAAATTAAAGCTATAATTGCAAACTCACTTTTATAAATGTCCAAGTTAACTGGCCACTACAATTCTTTCTTCAATGATAATGTCTTATAATGTGTGCAGAAATGTCTTAATCTTTAATTTGTTTAATGGTTTGTAAGACATGGTTGCATTCTGTTATACCTTTCAAAAAATCTGATATCTTACCTGAATATAGGCGTATGTCCAGGTTTGGGTTTATTCCATGAGAAGTGTGAGGGTACAGAGAGGAACTGTTCTACAGGCCCATCTTTTTTCAGACTGTGCATGTTCTCATCTGAAGGAGAATCCAGGTTAGCAGAAAGATTTTCCTGCTCGTCCAATGCCAGCTCTCCTTTCCCTGTCTGCAGAGGTGTTCTATCCTGTGAGGTCTTCCTCGTCTTTGATGGGATGTCCGTCTCAGATGAGCAGCACTGAAAAGGTGACATGCCTACAGTGGGACTCCCGGCCCACGTATCTTCTGTCACGCTCCCCCTTGGGGAAGGACCTGGGGTCGGTGTAGGTGAGTGATGAGGAGAAAGAGAACCGGGATAGCAAATGTCGGCACTCGAGTGTCGCCTTTTGCCACAGGGTGAGGTTGGTCTTGATGAAGGCCTGGAAGGAGACCGGGGGCTAAGCCAATTTTCATCAGTGACACTGTTGCGTGGTGAATGGCAGGGAGACTGTCGGGGAGAAAGGGTGGAGTGAGAATGATGCACAAAGGGTGGATGATGGTGCTGCCATGCCGACTGCTCCTCCAGAATCCCACCAACAGCCTGCGGGGACGCACACACTGGAGAGGTCAGAGGGGAGCCCAAACTAAACCTTGCAGCTGCTTCATTCAACTCTGAGTCAACATCATCGTAGACATGTGAAAATGATTCGCAAGACGAGGCATCAGAAAACCAGCTCCTAGAGGAGAGGCTGCTGCAAGGGCTAGGACTAAGGGAAGAGTCCCTGTATGAGTGGTCCAGTGGTAAATACAGGTGGTCTCTGGACAAGGGCCTGTCGCCATGATAATCTCTATCAGGGCCATTAGCCGTCAGATCCCCCTCACTGGCATCTATCTCCTGCTGGCAACTAGGGGAGATGGAGGTGATCTGGATACTGGGGCATTCAAAGGCTTTTGGTGCCTCCACAGGAGCAGAGGGCAGCAACGGCGAGGTGCCATACTTGGAGCCTTGTGCTTCATAGCTTAGAGGCTCAGATCCTGTTTTGTGCGATTGAAGGCGCGGAGAAGTGCTGATGACCTGATGGTGGGAGTGCATGCCATGACGAGGCAGGCCAATAGACTGGTGGTTGGTAACCATAGACTGGGGCTGGCCCACATTTAGGATGTAGAATGATGTGTTGTCATCAGGCTCCAGATCTAAGAGAGGCAGATAGAAGAAGGAGTTATAACCATAGAGGAAACTGGAAGAAACAATGTTTTACTACATGTCATTGCTTCTCAAGCTTCATTCAGAGTAGCTAGTCTGATACTGAATTCACATGGAAAACTGAACAATCAATTTTTGAGAAGAAGTCAAACTAGGAAAATAAATAATCAATCTTCCAGGGTTAAATGATAAATAAAATAACCATAAGTATCTTTAAATAGCTTTATTAAACTATTATTAAACTACCAACTCAACAAAGCTTCTTGTACCCTTCTTTTTTAAAAGCTATTGTTCTAATTCTGCACATTTACCCCGTGGGACTTAACTAATCAAGTTTGTCTTGTAAATGTAGAAAGAAAGATATGATTCAGTGGTTCCTGAACATTCTCCTTCTGAGACACTCTCATTCTGAGTGTCTCCAATAAATAATATCAATTAACAAGTGATTGTTCAGAGATTTTATACCTTGGATAAGCAGGCCTTTGTTAATAAAATTTTAAATTTCAACTGTTCAACCTGGTATCTAAAGCTAAATTAATGGAAACTTACATATTTAAAAAAGAAAAATAATAATATACAATTTCATGATAGTTTACATAGCTTTCGGAAAATACCTGACATTGCAACTAAAATCATGATCAAACAAAAAAAGCTATATATTCAATGGTTTAACACATTTTTAAAACAATGGCAGTGGGGGAAAGTAACTGTGTACATTTAGTTGATTACTGTACTTAAGTACTTTTTTTGAGTATCTTTACTTGAGCAATTTTCAGGGGATACTTATAACTTTCACTCCCCTTCATTTCAAAGCCAAATATTGTACTTTCTACTCCACTACATTTCGAGGAAGCTGCTAGTCACTTGTTTGTTTTGGCTCAGCATATCTTTTAAATCCACTGTGCTGTTTTTCTTTCTTGAAATACAATTTCAACATGGCATGGAAACTCGGGGTAGATATTATTTGTAGGTAATACCTTTTATAAAAGCATTGGTTGTTACCATGTGGCCAAGTTGTTCAGAAGAATGAGTTCTGAAATCAGAGTTCTAGTGTCTTTTTGGTTATCGATTCAACCTTAAACCTCTATTCCATGGTGAAAGTGTCTTTTGTTTTGTTTTTTTTTTAATAAAAATAATAATCCAAACAGCTGCCCTATTTTTTTTGTGCCAACGTTCTTTACAAGTGGTGTAGAATTTGTAGCAGGGTTCTACGCATCAATACATCAAGTGGTTTCTGAAATGTCTTTAAAAATTACTCTGAAAATGACACAGAAATGTAATGTTATTAGAACATTTTATTTGTAGTTTTGAATACTCATGTACTTTTAAATGCATGTACTTTTGAAAACTTACATATTTTACAAAGTGAGTATTTCAGTACCTTAACTTGAGTAGATGTTTGACCGAGTAAGATACGATAAGAGGTAACATAGACTTTATTAATTTCACATTGGAGAAATTCACTAACTTTTACTTGTAGTTGAGAGGGAAATGACTCTGAGTATCAATACTTTTACTCAAGAACTACTGTTGAGTACTTCGTCCTCGAATGAAAAATAGGTTGTTTACACATATGAAATGGAGGTGATAACGGATAAAATGGCAACTTGATGGTAAAAAAATTGGGACTATGACTTTGAGACACAGAAACACAAACAAACCACAACAAAAGCTTTTCTTTTTATCTAATTATGTACTTTTAAGAAGTGCTGTTCTAATAGTACAAGCATTTCAGCTAAGATATGTTTTTCCATGATCATTTCCTATTGCTATGTTTGCTTTTTTATTACAACCACAACTTTTAAGTGAAAGAGGATGAAATGCATTTCACGTAAAAGTTGTGGCAAAAATCATGCCTTGGGATTCCTTAAAAATCAAAAATCATGCCTTGGGTTTCCTAAAACCTAGGGGCCAAGGTATTTGTGTGTTGTTCCAGAAGGGATGAGTAAAGAACAACACTACTTGGGAAACAAATTCGCACAACAATGCGTGCCGTCGGCTGTCATCACAGCTAGGGCTAGCAGGCTATTTATACCAAAGGTCATCCAGCACAGGCAGTATATATGTGTATAAACAGACACGCGCACTCAAACAGACAAGAGTCACTTGTGTTCATTGGCACTATTCAGTGAGTTTATTGATATGCTTTCACTAGTTATGCTCCACTGCTCCCACTGGAATGCACTTCCTCATGCTCTACATTTTTCATAAGTGTTAATTGGACAAAGAATCCTATAATGAAAAATGCTTTGCATTAACCAAAAGTTACAAAAAGTTATCAGGTGCATGCATTAAAATGAGCAATACCAAGCTATTAAAAAAAGTAGCTTTGTGTAATGGATGAACTAAAACTCTAGTGTCTGGTAAGCCCTGGAGACCGAATAAAAATGGCTAAGTTAGTGTACAAAAATCATCTGGTTTTGCTAAAACCGCAACCCAGCCTGACAGGATACAGTTATGAAATCCTTACACAACACTTGTATTCCACAATATATTCCTTCAACTTAACCACCTATTTTAACCTTTCACTTTAGAAAGTAAGCTATGACTAATAAGACTGGACAAAGGCTGGCTATAATATCTTGGCTTAGAAAAAGGCAAGCAAATGTCAGAAATTATGAAAAGGACGTTGGTACCTTCCAACATCTCCATCCAGTCCAGTAGCAACAGCAGGGGCAAGTTATGCATATTAATAGCTACTCAATTTTTGACTGGCCCTGTTTGTTGGTCCCCAGGCACAGTAATGGAGCCTCTGATGGCATCTAGGCTAACTGACAGGGAGCAAAATAGACACAACAGACAGAAAAGGGAAACAAATAGTTTGTTGTAAACAACCAGCCAAAAAAGGCAAGTTAAAGATGAAGAAATCCACCATGGCTGACTGCTGTTTTGATGCACAAACAATAATTCAGAGTAGAAGACTTTATAGTCCACCAAAATTGTCTTTTGGACCAATATCTCCAAAATCTGAAGAAAGTAATTACAGATTAGCTGATTGATTGAACATGAATATTTTGATTCTGAGCAAGATTCCCTTCTGTAAAAAGCTGCCTGTTGTCATCTGCTTTCCTCATGGAGGAATTCCTTATTCATTGATTGTGAAACTTCTTGTGAAGCATCTCTCTGGGTGATAAAATTGGGCCATAAAAAGGACATTTCATGCAATTCCTGAGTAATACCTTCTGTGCCGAGGGATTGACTCCTTCTTAAGGGCAACCAGATTTATCATTATTATTATTTAGTTTTACATTTCTGGAGGAAAAATAAAAAACACACTGAGAAACCCAACCACACCTATAAAACTACTACTCAGTAGTACTATATAATCTTAACTCAGTAGTTAAGATTATATATATATA